GCTGAGCCGACAAATAGCTGATCAGCTGTTTGTCGGCTCAGCGCGGCAGCCATGTAAATTTAAATGAAGTGGTGATTATTTAAATCGCCGCTTCATTTTCCTATGTCTGGTAGCCTAATCTACATGCCTCTGGCGACAGAGGCATGTAGTCTAGACGTACCCTTAGAAACATGCAACAGGTGTTTCCCAGAGGCTCAGAAACCAGAAGACAGATTAAAGAAAACTCAACATTTATTTATTTTTAAAGGTAATGATTTTAACTCGATCGCAACATTTTTGGCCGCCTGACTCATCATTGTGGAGGTTATCGTTAGCAATACACAACCTTTGTCTGCAGAACAATTTAGCCTCTTTCGCTTTCCACCTTTGAGCATTCGGGGCATTTGCTTTTAATTTCTCTGAGAAGCTCCTGCATAACCACACCCTCTCTTCCCAGGGACATGACCTTCTTAAGTTCTCCTTGCTGGCTTGCAAGGCATTTGCCTCTCTTCTTACTGACCAAAATGGACTCCCCTTGCAACCTACATTTAGAGCAGTGGTCTCCAACCTTTTTAAGCACGAGATCACTTTTTGTTTTTAAGGGCAATCCAAGATCTACCACATATATAAATATCTTTGCCCCACTTCCTTCCTACTCCTTCTCCAAGGCCCTGCCCCTGCTCGCTCCATCCTCCCTCTCTTGCCCATCCTCACTCACTTTCATCAGGTTGGGGCAGAGGGTTGGGGTGTAGGCTCTGGTCTTGAATTAAGGGATCTGGAGTGTGAGAGGGGCTCTGAGCTGCTCTTGGGACAGGCAGTTGGATGTAGGAGGGAGTTCTAGGTGCAGGTTCTGGGAAGGTGTTTGGATGCAGGGGTGCTCAGATAAGGGCCTGGAGTGTAGGAGGGGGGGCATGAATGGGGTAGGAGTTGGGGATATGGGCTCCATCTGGGCACTGCTGGTGGCTCCTGGGTAGTGGTGCAGTGGGGCTAAGGCAGGCTCACCTGAACCACTCCCTAAAGCAACCAGCAAACTCCATCCCTGATCCTGTTGTGCCCTCTCTCTGCTCTGTGGAAAAAGGATACAGAATGGGAGAGGGGGCCATCTTGACATCAGCCCCCTCCTCTCCCTCTGCTCCCAGGGGTGGGAGAGGCAGTTCCAAGGCAAAGGACAGGAGGTGCACAGTAGCAGGGGGAGGGGCAGTTGAAGTGCCAGTACTTGATAGCTTCATGGTCAAACTAGTCAGGATCACCTATCAGAGGCTCCAAAATCTCCCAGTAGATCCCGATCGACTGGTTGGTGACCACTGATTTAGACAGATGTGGTTTCTTTTCCATTTCTCCCAAAGGGAATCAAAGCCAGGAGTCAACTTCATTTACCCCTGCTGAAGACACAGCAGAGCCAGCTGCCTGGACCTGACACATGTTTTGCTGAGGGAAAGGTTGGGAAATCACTGCTGTTCAGGTGACGTCAAAGCCCCATTTCTTTGCTCGCTGGCCCTTTTCAGTCCAGTTCCACGGTCTCATATTTTGGGGGTGCAATCCAGACCAATGACAGATTATGTCAACACCAGCTTCATGTCCCCAGGTCAAGGGGGGCCAGGGACCATTTCTAGGGGCGTGGGGGAGGCTTCATGAGCCACACTTTAAGGGGGGGTAAGAGCCGCAGGTTGGCCACCCCTGCCCTAGTGCTTTAAAAAGCTCTGCTGCTTTAGCTCGCTAGTCTGGATACTCCCATCAGCGTATGAGCATGTGCCAAGTGGCTCATTAATTCTGACTCTGCTTATTATACTATAGCCAGACTCTGGTCTCTGCCAACTATTATCCAAGTGACCTCAACACCCACTCACCCCCAGTCCTGAATTTCCCCAAATGGTCTGCCCTGAAGTATCCAGACCTCTCCTCAGCCACTCAGAGAAATTATAAGGTTTGGTTGTTCCTTTAAGCTATGTCTATACTGGGAAGGTTTGGCGACAAATGTGCTGTCGGCATGCAGAAGTCTCCAAAAGTGAAAGCCCGTCAAACCAGGTTTTCTGCCTCCCATTGTTGACATTTCATGGCCACGTTGCTAGCTCCCTGTTGACAGATAGAGCTCAGCAATGTGGGTAAACATCCCATCGTGTTGGGGGAAGGCAGGACTGCTCTGTGAGTTCTCTATGCAGAGGAATGTCAAAGCAGCACAGCAGTCTCTCCAGCCCTGCCCCTGCAGCAGCAGCCTGCCTGCCGCTGAGTTCCTCATGCAGGGCAGAACAGGAAGGAGCATTCCAGTGATTATGAATTGCTCTTTGTTCCCCAAATGGAGCAGCTCACTCAGATGTCAGGTAGTCTGTGGAGCTTTGAAAGGGGAAAGGTACATGCCTGCAGGGCAGCAGAGATCACAAAACACTGAGCACAGCCACTGAGGGACAGGCATTGTGAGGTACTGGCAGAAGCTAGTTCTATCAACAAAACAAACACTGGCTCTTTTTCGACAATAAAGGGAAAAAGACAAAAGTCTCTCACAAAGGTGGAAGTTTTTTGTCACCAAAATTGGGTGTTTTTCCAAACAAAACTCACAGTAGAAGTGTAGTGTAAACGCTCTCACTGTTTTGTTGACAAAAGGCAGGTTTTGGTGACAAAACATGCTAGTGTAGACAAGGCCTTAGAGAGACTGTACCTACACATTAACCAGAGTTAACAATTACATAATTTCAAGCACAGCACTGAGTGAGTTTAGATTAAAATAAAACAAATTCATTAGTGACAGGACATAGATTGAGTGATGCCAAATAAAAGAATTAAAAAGTGAAAATCTGCATCTAATAGTCTAAAACAGTGGTGGGCAACCTGTGGTCCATGGGCTGCATGCGGCCCACCAGGATTCTTTGTACGGCCCAAGAGGCATTTTGTTTACATGGTCGCTAGATTCTGCTGGTTTACATATGCATAGGTTTCTTTTCCTGCTGGTATTACTAAAGTGACATGCACAAAAAGCAAGGGTATATGAAAGGTATGTGAAGGGTGCAACATTGATTGTGAGAGCCGTGTGCTCACTCTGCATCCACTCAAAGCACTGCTGCCGTTCAATTTGCTCACAAGTATTTTCTGTGTCCCAGTCACCTCCCAAATTCTAACGCAGTGAGCAAAACTACTGTATCCAGAAATACTTTCTTGGTTACAGAAATCTTGGCCCCCACTGAACTGAAGTAAGGCCACTCATGAGGTCCACAGACTACCCGAAGCTGCCCATTGCTGGTCTAAAACAATCTAACAAGGCACTGTTTTTGTGTTAAATGGTTTTGCTCGTCAATTACTTTTGGTCCACCATGACTAACAGTCCTTCAGTCAGGACTTTCCACAGAAGCATGAGGTGCCAATTTCCCTTGTCTTAGACAAAAGAAAATTTAGGGTTCACTGCACCGCTCTTTATAGGTCAGTAAACCTCGGAAAACCATTTCTCTTAATGTTCAGAAGATCCTGCTTCAAGAAGCAGGAAAGCTTCTTGTAGGTGGGGTCTTCATTCCCCAGTGATAGCTGAATCATAACATCTTCCCCTTGCTAGCGTGATGGTTTTGTTTATCTTTTATGTAAATGTGCCTTCACTGCATCTGCCTGATGACCAGCCTAGTCAGACAAGCAAATACACAGTTCTTTACGATCTAGACTTGCTGACATCTCAACCATCTTGTGAGCTTTGATGGTTCTGCTTACTGCCTATTTAAATTGCAACTTTGTTGTTCCTGGGCATGTGGCTTCATTTGTATTCAAGACCTGTGTAGTCCTGTTTCAGCTTTGTTGAAATACACACTTTTATATCACAACATCCATAACTCTACGTGTAGCATAGTCACACATATCCCCAGTGATACTATTGACCAGTGTGGTACTAGTTTTCAAGTGATACATCCCCAGGCACAGACTGTACAAATATCATCGCAGTCGTGTGAGGGGTGTAGTAAGATGAGGGCCTAAAACATACGCCCATGTATCACAAGCCTGATGTGAGGCCTGGCCAACAATGGTCAAGACTATGCTAATATAAAGCAAAGCTAAGCTGTGAGCAGGAGGGTAATAGGCCCGGGTGTAGAATAATTATTGGTACTAGCTAAAACAATATCTGGCACTGGGCATAGGTTGAAAGCACGTTCCAGAAAGATGGTAACAACACCTTGTTAAAAAGGACCTTGGTACCCCACTGATAACAGGGACATCCTGACCCAGGTTCAGGAGAGATCTTCAAGCTTAAATTGGAGCCTCTCTGCTGAGTAAGCTTTTCCGTTTCAAACGGCAGATTTTCCACAGACAACGATTTCAAGACTGAAGGGCAGTTTTCCAAAAGCTATGCTGAGAAGCGACTGCTAAGGCGATACCCCCACCTCCACTTTCAAACCTTCCCTAGACTAGGTAAGAAGTTACCGTTTCCTAAAAGGTGAGAGTAGAATCGATGTGCGGGGAAAGGGTCCCATGGGACCATGTGCCTCCCCACGGTTGCTGGTTGGCTTGTATTGGGCATGCTCACAAGGACTGAGCATGCTCAGTAACATCTGCTGTCCTCACTCTCTCCCTCCTCCTCTATTGGCATGTTTGGGTTATCTCTGGGTAGAAGAAGAGGAAAATGCAATAGATTCCCCCACTACCCAACCCTCCTGTTAAAAACCATTACTGCAGGGTGAGGCACTTGGCTTCCACAGAAACCCAACCAGAGTTGAGTAGCTTTGTACAGCATTGTTCAGGGGGTTTACATTTTCCAGAGGAGCAATTTATGGAGTTGTTATATCTAAGAGCTGCTCTTGTTTTGGATTTGTCCATTATCATGAGACAAATGGCCTTTGTGTTCTCTCAGGCCCCTAAATAGTTCCTCGGCTATTTAAAAAGTCAACTGAAAATGCCAGCACCCGTACCAAAGCTTGTGTATATGCCAACCCACTAATAAACACATTACACAGGCTCATTTCTCCTTCCACGCCTTAAATATACAGTGTTTGATAAGCCACATCTCACGTAGGCCATGCAGGTAGGAGTCCAGCATCTCACAACAGGACATCAGCAATCTATTTGCAAATATGTGCAATTCCCCCTGAAAATACCACTTCCCTCCCAAATTAGCTGCCACTCCTCCAACCTTCAAACAGTGCAACTCCTCAAGGGCTTTCTTTCTTACCCCATATCAAATTACTGTCAAAGTGTTGTGGGGTTTGATTTATCTTAGATACAAGGGAAACCAGAGAGACTTAGCCACTTTCTTATTTATTGCAAGCTTTAAGCAGTTAATATAGTTGTTTATATTTTAAAAGCCTTAAAAACAATTACTATACAATTTAAACCTTAAATACTATAAATTCTAAAGCAATTAATACAGCACAAAGTAATGCAAAAGCAATTATTAGAAGATTTACTATACTGCAATAATAAGCTGCCTGGACACTGATTAATGGATCTCCAAGTCACTATATTGTTTCAGGGCAATTCCGTAAGCCAAATACACAGGGAAGGGTTGGAACGTAACTTCATTTACAAGTTTAATTCTTATCAGATTGGCTCGCACACTACCTTCCACATCCTAATAACATAATCAACCAACCTAACAATGGAGGCACTAATAGTTCTTATCAGCCTCTTGTAACTAGAATAATCTATTCACTGTCTTTTTCCCCACTTTTTTTCCCCTTCCTCCTTCCCCCACCCCTTCCCTTATTTATTATTGGATCTGGACTTTTAATACTCCAGTCATCTGAAGAAGTGGGCTGTGCCCATGAAAGCTCATGATCCCATCCACACGTTTTGTTAGTTTTTAAGGTGCTACTATCATAGAATCATAGAACCATAGAGCTAGAAGAGACCTCAGAAGGTCGTCAAGTCCAGCCCCCTGCCCAAGGCAGGACCAATTCCAACTAAATCAACCCGGCCAGGGCTTTGTCAAGCCGAGACTTAAACACCTCTAGGGATGGAGACTCCACTACTTCCCTAGGGAACCCATTCCAGTGCTTCACCACCCTCCTAGGGAAATAGTTTTTCCTAATATCCAACCTGGACCTCTCCCACCACAACTTGAGACCATTGCTCTTGTTCTACCATCTGTCACTACTGAGAACAGCCTCTCTCCATCCTCTTTGGAACTTCCCTTTTGCTCAAACCACCGAGCTATCCCTCCCCCCAAAACAGCACATGGAGATATACCTATCTCATAGAACTGGAAGGGACCTTGAGAGGTCATTGAGTCCAGTCCCCTGCCCTCATGGCAGGACCAAGTACCATCCCTGACAGATTTCTCCCAGATCCCTAAATGCCCCCGTCAAGGGTTGAACTCACAACCAAGGCTATGTCTACACGCGACCCTCTCCAATGCGTCCACATCCTTTTTGTAGTGGGGGGCCCAGAACTGGACACAATACTCCAGATGTGGCCTCACCAGAGATGAATAAAGGGGAATAATGACATCTCTGGATCTGTTGGCAATGCTCCTCCTAATGCAACCTAATATGCCATTAGCCTTCTTGGCTACAAGGGCACACTGTTGACTCATACCCAGCTTCTCATCCACTGTAACCCCCAGGTCCTTTTCTGCAGAACTACTACTTAGCTTGTCGGTCCCCAGCCTGTAACAATGCTTGGGATTCTTCCGTCCCAAGTGCAGGACTCTGCACTTGTCCTTGTTGAACCTTATCAGATTTCTTGTGGCCCAATCCTCCAATTTGTCTAAGTCACACTGGACCCTATTCACTGTTTTTTAAACTTAGTTCCCTTACACTTCACCCGTATGCTACCTACAGTGCCAGGCAGGAGGTCGTGGTCCCTTTAATCCCCACCTGTCGGGATGCCATGCAATGGGGTCGCCCATATGAAGGGTCTATTTACTTCTAGTTACAATAAGGAGGGCCTCTCAGTCAATCCTGCTCCCTCCCTCCCATCGATTCTTCTTGCTGAGCCCACTTTATAGCAAAGCGAGACTCGGTCATTCTAGAAATATTTACCAATTGATTAAGCGTTGTGTAAGATACCTACAATTCCCAATGCCCTATTTGGGGTACATCCTGCTACTCAGGTTGTTGCAAAAACTACATGCGTAGTTAACAGTTTTATGGTTGCATCTATAATTTTTGTTTAGCAGAAATAGAAGTACCAGTACAAGGTTGATTGTCGTGTGTTCTCGACGTGATCTCGCTGTACCACGCTTAATCTGCATTGTTATGCAAAACATTCCGGCCTCCCAAGCCTTGCCTGCGTGTTTATGTGCACCAGACTTGAGACAGGCCTGGGTTTTGCTTGTTAGAGATCCACATTGTGGTCAAAGCAAACATCACCGTTTATCGTCACGGCAGGGCTGTCCTGACTCCCCTACACCAAGTCAACTGATTGGGAAGTTTTGGCCCTGTGGCCTCCGTTGGCAAATAACTATGTCTCTTGTCTTTTTCCCACCCCTGATTCTTCTTGCTCATCTTGGCCTCTGAGGATAGGACAAGAAGCAACAGGCTTAAACTGCAGCAAGGGAGGTTTAGGTTGGACACTAGGAAAAAGTTCCTAACTGTCAGGGTGGTCAAACACTGGAATAAATTGCCCAGGGAGGTTGTGGAATCTCCATCTCTGGAGATATTTAAGAGCAGGTTAGATAAATTTCTAATAGAGATGGTCTAGACAGAATTAAGTCCTGCCATGGGGGCAGGGGACTGGACTTGATGACCTCTCAAGGTCCCTTCCAGTCCTAGTATTCTATGATTCTATGATTCTCCTCCCCTCAAATCCCACACCCCTTTTCTCAAAGCACCCCCAAGCTCAGATCCCAAACGGAAATTCCTCAGAAACCCAACTCATGCACCTAATTACCAGAACTCTTGCTAGGAAAGGCCCCAAAGCCCACAATTTCCCCACCAACTGACATACTGTCTAGGAGAAACACCAGCAGGGTTCTCCTCCTGACAACCCACCTTTTGAAGACTGCTTCCATCAGGAATCCCTCTGCTGACTAGTGGGTTTTCTGGGATGATCAACTGAATGGATTTCCCCTCTCCCATGGCCCAGGAGGACTCTCCCTTGAGTAGTAGCTAGTGTTTGGAAAGGAGACTTACTAACAGGGTCCCATGTACTAGAGCAGTGTTTCTCATTGACTGGTCTCTTGCTAGTCCCTGAGATCCCTCTGACACAGTTTAGGGGGACAGCAAACCAGTCTCTGGTGTCAGCAAGGTTGAGAAACACTGCCCTAGAGCACTTTGTGTCCTATTCCATCAGAGCAGGAGGGAGTACCCGGAAGTTCTTTGGGATTCTTCCCCAGCCTGAGAAGAGGACAATCACTAAAGGACTATGTTACTCAAAGGGCACATCTAGATTGCCCATGGCTTTCGAAAGAAGGTATGCAAATTTGGCATGAATTTGCATATCTTCTTCCGATTCCGTTTTCGGAAGAGTTTTTTCAAAAGAAAAAAAAAAGCAGACTAGATGCCATTCTTTTGGGAAAAAATCTCTTTTTTTGAAAGAACCCTGTACACTTCATTTTTTTAGGAAGAAGGGTTCTTTCAAAAAAGGGTTTTTTTCCAAAAGAACCGGGTCTAGACTGCTTTAAAAAATACTCTTCCGAAAACGAGATCCAAAGATATGCAAATTCATGCCAAATTTGCATATCTTCTTTCAAAAGCTGCAGGCTGTCTAGACGTGCCCAAAGAGAGGAGATAGAAGGGCAGTTTATAAAAAGACACTTGGAGTAGGAAGACTTCTGAAGAGATACATACATGGGACATTTTGTGCACAAATAGGGAAGGGGATGGACTGACCAAGGTCAAAGGGGGTGAGCTATGGTGAAAAGAAATGTGTCCCAGAACCAAGACATGCACTGGAACCCTCAACCGCCCAACCCCCTCTCCCCCCCCCCCAAAGAATACTCTGGAGTGGGAGGAAACTGAGGCAGGGTCAGGTTTATCATTTTGTAAAGATCTCTCTGTTTCTCTTGTTATTCAAGAGCAATACAGTTTTGGAATGCCATGCAAAACATATGTGTGGGTATTAAGTATTGACTCTATCCCAAGATAACATAACCCAGAGGGCTCACAGCTTGGTGTGGAGTTTACAAGAGGGGGCCAGAATCATAGAATACTAGAACTGGAAGGGACCTCGAGAGGTCATCGAGTCCAGCCCCCCGCCCTCACGGCAGGACCCAGCACCCTCTAGACCATCCCTGATAGACATTTATCTAACCTGCTCTTAAATATCTCCAGGGATGGAGATTCCACAACCTCTTTAGACAACTTATTCCAGTGTTTAACCACTCTGACAGTTAGGAACTTTTCCCTAATGTCCAACCTAAACCTCCCTTGCTGCAGTTTAAGCCCATTGTTTCGTGTCCTATCCTCAGAGGCTAAGGAGAACAATTTTTCTCCCTCCTCCTTGTGACACCCTTTTAGATACCTGGAAACTGCTATCATGTCCCCTCCCAGTCTTCTCTTTTCCAAACTAAACAAGCCCAATTCCTTCAGTCTTCCTTCATAGGTCCTGATCTCTAGATCTTTAATCATTCTTGTTGCTCTTTTCTGGTCCTTCTCCAATTTCTCCACATCTTTCTTGAAATGTGGTGCCCAGAACTGGACACAATACTCCACGGCTGTGTCTAGACTGCATTCCTTTTCCGTACAAGGGATGCAAATTAGACATATCGCAATTGCAAATGAAGCGGGGATTTAAATCCCCCCCGCTTCATTAGCATAAAAATGGCTGCCGCGTTTTTCCAGCTTGGAGCTTTGCCGGAAAAAGGCGCCAGTCTAGACGTGGATCTTTCGGAAAATAAAGCCTTTTCTGAAAGATCCCTTATCCCTCATTTTACATGTCTGGTATTCCCCGATTTTTTTTACCGAACAAAGAGCGCAAATACCGGACTGTCCAGTAAAATACCGGACACCTGGCAACCCTAGTAGCTATGGCGCTGGAGAGAGGGGGCTTGCAGGAAGGGAAGGAACCATCTCCACACTCACTAACAGCTGGAGGGGGAGCTGGTGTAGTGGAGCAAGCCGGGGCCAGGTTGCTCTGCTTCCGACCACCTCTAGTGAGTGTAGTGGTAGGTCTAGCCCCTGCTGCTAGCTCCAGACCCCCTGCAAATCCCTTGAGCTGCATCGCTTGGGGAAAGGGTGGAACAGGGGCAGGGAGAGGTGGGGGCAGAGCAGCATTATTTAGCAGGCTCCTAAAGAGAGAGGAAGGATGATTAGTGGTTAAAGTACTAGCCTGAGAAATGGGAGACCTGAGTTCAGGTTCTGGGCAAGTAACTTTGTTGCTCTGTGCCTCAGCTCCCCTAGGCCGTGTGGATAAATACACTGAAGAGTGAGAAACAGTCACATTCTTTTAATGAGGGTCTGAGAAAGGTGGAATGGTAGAAAAGGCCCTTTGGTGCTCATTGGTGGCATGGGAACACGGCCAAAGAGGAGCAGTATGCTGCTTCCGTGCTAATTCTCTGTTCACCCTGCCTTGCCAAGTTCAGCTCACCCACTCTGCATTTGTTTATATTCCCAGAGAAAAGAACCGTTTGGTTCCCACCATCTTCCCCAGACAGCACAGTAGAGCGTGGGAAGTAGAATTTGAATTGCGGGGAGGGGGGAGGTTTAGAATTTTGCGGGGCTAGTAGCAATGTATGTGCCCAACCAAAGCATGATGGGTGGGTGGTATATTTAAGCAACTCTCGCTAGGCTGTGTGCAACAAACACACTCTTGACGCCACATGTAATCTATTCCCTCTGAGGTTGATTGGAGGGGTGGAGGAGTGGCATATACTCTGACCAATTCGGAGAAGTGGGGAACCACCTTCTTCCCTGTGCTCTGTCTCCCTCTGAAACATGCTGTGCTTTGTTGCAGAGCCGAAGGCCGGGCAACCCCTTCCAAGGAAGGGAAGCAAGCCCTCAAGAGAAATAAGCTGCAGATGGGAACCATTAACTCTCTCCTCCTTATTTGAAGCAAAGCCCGTTGTCAACGTGCCAGGGCAACACAGCTTCAAGCATGGGAAAGTCTCGCAATGGGTAGTGAGCAGCTCTTTTGTAGACAGTTACAAATAAAGCCTCACCCTGAGTCACTGCCACTTGGATGAATGCAGCCATCAGAAAGCAGAACTCTCTAGCGTCCGGAAAGCTCAGCTGGCTGGTGAAAGCCACCTTTTAACAGAGCTTGCATGGTTTGGAGTTTACGACGGAGAATGAGCCTGCAATAAAAGTGGTTAAGGGTTGTGACAAAGTATTAGTCATTGGGCTATGAAAAGTCCCTTCCCAGCTCCATCGTTAGTGTTAACAGCAGCAGTCAGCTGTTCAAATGATACTGAATTCTTCCGCCACGTGAATGCCCAGAACTAGCAGGGCTCCTGGTACCATTTTGCATTTTTTATAAGAAAGAGAATCTACTCGCAGAGCACTTTTCCTGTTCCAGTTTCACCTAATAGGTCTAGTCCTCCAAGACTTGGTGGGCATAGGCACTGTCGGGGACTCGAACCCGGACGGCCTCTGTTCGTTGTCTGACCGCAAAGAGACAGGCAACACCAGCAAGATCCAATCACAAGCTCTTTATTGAATGGTGCACACAACAATAGAGAGCGGCCCGTCTCCAAAGTGAACCAGCCCCGATTTCATTTACAGGTAGGCTTATATAGACAGTTCCATCGCATCATAGACTATTCGCCCAAGCAACCAACCCCCCTTTATCAGTTAGAAACCTCCAATACCCATGCATACCTGGCCAACTATACATCATGGCCTTAAGCAATTCATAATGCATCAGCAATTTCTTATCAGCCCAAAAGACAGGTACCGGGGCAACAAGGAGACAGTTTGTTATGGCCAAAGGAGAACATAAACAGGGAGTTTGGAACAAACGGGGAGAGCAGAAACAGGGAGTCTCCTTATCAGTTCTCAAAACAAACTGTTCCTCATCACAGCAGGTACAAAAATGCAGCTTCTTGCTTATCTCATTTTGCCAACTTGAGCAAGCTATCTCCAGTTCTGCCCAGGGACTACCCAGAAACCTTTGTTACATTTGCTTTAGCATAACTGCACTAGGCCTATTTTAGAAGCCCCACCACCCAGAGCAGAGCTTTGGTTCCTTCTGGAGCAACAGAGCTCGGGCTTTGGCTCCCTCTCCCCAGGGTGGGAGGACTCAAGCTTTGCTCCCGACCCCCTCTTCCTGAGGTTGTGGAGTCCTCCGCCCCTCCCCCAAAACCCAAACACAGTATGAAAATACTTTATTTGGTTCAAGAATTGTGAACGCCTGGCAAACTGCAAAGCGATACAAGGCTAAAAAGGTCTTCATGCTAACTTTAGTCAACACACAGAAGACTTACTCTAGACGAGAGCCATTTGTTCTTTGCTAAGTAACAGTCCTTATCTGCCTTTTTTGACTATCCAGCCTTTAAAAACTATTTGTTTTTCCCATTGCAGTCCAGCTCACCTTTCCCCTTGATATTTGTTACCCACTGCCTCTTCTTGTTCCCCGTTCCATTTTTTCCTGCTTCCACACACACACACACACCCCTTCTCCATTTATTTTGGTCCTGGACATCCAACACTTTGGTCATTTGAAGAAGTGGGCTGCACCCACGAAAGCTCATGATACCATCTACATGTTTTGTTAGTCTTTAAAGTGCTACCAGACCATTTGTTGTTTTTTTAAGTATCTAGAAGAGAGGTCTGACAAGCTGTTAGCGTCTTAAATGACTGATATGAAGAACATGACATTAGGAAAGTGAGACGGGTCATTGGGTAAACAGATAAGAGGCCAAAAAGGGACCATCTCAGGAAAGGGAAGGTTGATAAGTAAACACTGTTAGTATCTCGTATCCTCCTATGTATGCAGTGTAGTTGTAGCTGTGTCAGGATATTTTTCCCGGTATTTTTCTAAAAGATGGGATCTGAGAATTATACTGGAGGGTTATGTCTACACTGGCATGATTTTCCGAAAATGCTTTTAACGGAAAAGTTTTCCGTTAAAAGCATTTTTCGGAAAAGCACGTCTAGATTGGCAGGATGCTTTTCCGCAAAAGCACTTTTTGCAGAAAAGCGTCCATGGCCAATCTAGATGCGGTTTTCCGCAAAAAAGCCCCGATCGCCATTTTCGCCATCGGGGCTTTTTGCAGAAAACACTACTGTGTTGACTACACTGGCCCTTTTGCGCAAAAGTCTTTCAGAAAAAGACTTTTGCCCGAACGGGAGCAGCCTAGTATTTCCGCAAGAAGCACTGACGATCTTACATGAGATCGTCAGTGTTCTTGCGGAAATTCAAGCGGCCAGCGTAGACAGCTGGCAAGTTTTTCCGCAAAATCAAAATATTTTGCGGAAAAACTTGCCAGTCTAGACACAGCCTGGAAGTTTTATGGCTTGTTCATATAGGAGATCAGAAGATGGTCTCTTCTGCCCTTGGAATCTGAGTATTTGCATGATTAGGATCTCCGTACCTAAGCAGTGGTACTTGTGCCTGAATGTCAATGAAATTAATTTCTCTGCAGACCTGGCTTCAGTGATACATAAAACGTACTCTAGCCTTCTGCACAAGAACCATGATTTCGCTTGGTCGCCCCCGTTCTGCAAACACGCAAGGCGTATCCATACTAGAAGTGCTACAGCCGAAGGTCCTTACTACAGCAACGGAGGGGAGGTTTCCATCATGGTAGTAAATTCACCCCCCACGCTGAGAGGCGGTATGTTATGTAAGTTGATGTCAGAATTAAGGGGGGACATGATAGCGGTTTTCAAATATCTAAAAGGGTGTCACAAGGAGGAAGGCGAAAATTTGTTCCTCTTGGTTTCTGAGGACAGGACAAGGAGTAATGGGCTTAAAGTGCAGCAGGGGAGGTTTAGATTGGACATTAGGAAAAAATTCCTAACTGTCAGGGTGGTCAAATATTGGAATAAATTGCCAAGGGAGGTGGTGGAATCTCCCTCTCTGGAGATATTTAAGAACAGGTTAGACAGACATCTGTCAGGGATGGTGTAGGGCTGGACTCGATGACCTCTCGAGGTCCCTTCCAGTCCTATGATTCTATGAATTCTTCCACTCACCTAGCTGCATCTAGTGATTCTTCTTCGGGTGATGTCCCCATGGGTGCTCCACGTATGGTGTTGGGCTCGTCCCGGCACCGCAGATCAGAGCTTTTTCTAAGCACTATCTAGTCGGACCACACATGTGCAGCAGGTGTCCCGTGCCACTGGCAGTTTGACAGTTGAGCACGGCCGACCCCTTCCCCTCAGTTCTTCTACCGCCCTTGGCCGTAGACGGAGTCGTCCTGCCTCTTCAGGCACTTTTCTCCTCATAGATAAAACCTTCAACCTTTTGACCTCAATTCATCTTGGATCCTTGATATTTTATTACCACTCAAAAGCAGGCAAATCAAGCCGGGGGACATTCTGTTCCTGCACCACTAGCTGCTTCAGCAGCAGCAAAAAAAAAAAAAAAAACCCACACACACCAAAAAAAAAAAAAAAAAACCCCACCTCACACCTTCACGACCTGACACCCTCAGATCAATAGGGAGTCAGCAGCTTCACTAACCTCCCCCACCTCCAGTCCAACCGCCAACGGCTCGACTATGCCTGCCTCACAAGGCTTTAAGAAGTGTGGTGGCTGCAGCAATCCTATCCCAGCCTCAGAGGGTCACAGCTGCTGTGTCCAGTGCTCGGGGGAGGCGCGCCATCCTCAGGAATGCGACCATTGCAAAACCCTGCCTTGAAGAACGAGAGAGGACAGAGAACTTAGACTCCATATGTCCTCTATGGAGAGGGCTTTACAGCCCTAAGCAAACGCTCCCCCAGAATGAATGGGAGGGACGTGGCAGCCTCAGAGTCATCTTCCTCGGCACCGGCCAGGCACAGGCAAGCTGCAAGATCTCTCCCCGCACCGGAAGAAACTCACAGGCAGCCTCTGGCAGGGAAAGCAGAAGTTACTCACCTTGTGCAGTAACGACATTTCTTCGAGGTGTATGTCCCCATGGGTGCTCCACAACCCTTGAGTGGAGCACGCACGGGGACATCACCGAAGAAGAACAGGCACAGGCACGTGCGGCACCGGATGAAGCAGCGGAGCCGGCTTCAAAGCAGTCCTGCAAACTCTCAGTGCCACCGCTCAGCTCAGCACTGGCTAGGGAAGCGGTACCGCCTACACAGCGGAAAGGCAAACCCTCGGTGCCGCCGCTTAGTGCACCCGCCTCTCCACTGCCTTCATTACAGCAGGACTTCAGCCCGCAGGCTAAGCAGACGGGCTTTGAATGAACTGCACGGGGCTCAGGGGAACTGTAATAAGCACAGACAACCCCCATCCTCCACGTGCTTCATGGGAACAGTCCTCGGAACGGTACCCACCCTACTCACTACCAAAGCAGAGACGGGGGTGCTCAACAGAGATCTATGATGAGAGGAGTGCATTCTCCTCCCAGCAGGCATCCCTCACTTCATCTCTACAAGGGCATCACTATACTCCATGACTATTTCACCCACAGTCGCACCCAAGCTGGTATTACCCACAGCCACATTACCAGCCACAGTAGGCACTTTTGGATTGCTGGGCACCACCCAAATACCACCCTACTACTCCATTCTCAGGAAAAAGGCAACCACCAATTTTGCCATCCCACACTATGGGTGTGTCTAGACTACTGAGTTTTGTCGACAAAAGTGGACTTTTGTCGACAAAACTATACCAGCGTCTACACTACTGCTGAGTTCTGTCGACATAATGTCGACAGAACTCAGCAGTTTTGTCGACGTTGGTATACCTCATTTTACGAGGCATAACACCTTCTGTCGACAGAACTCTGTCGACAGAAGATGTTATGCCTCGTAAAATGAGGTTTACCAGCGTCGACAAAACTGCTGAGTTCCGTCGACGTTATGTCGTTCTGTCGACATAACGTCAACGGAACTCAGCAGTTTTGTCGACGCTGGTAAACCTCATTTTACGAGGCATAACATCTTCTGTCGACAGAGTTCTGTCGACAGAAGGTGTTATTGCCTGTAGGGTTGCGTCTAGACTACAGGGTTCTGTCGACAAAGCAGCTTGCTTTGTCGACAGAACTCAATCTGTCTGGACGCTCTTTGTCGACAGAAGTTTTGTCAACAGATACTGTCGACAAAACTTCTGTCGACAAAATCCGGTAGTCTAGACGTACCCTATGGTAGCCATACCTGACTCAGAGGAGGAGGAGGAGGAGGAGGAAAGCCAATTAGCTGATGATCAGGATGACACTCGGCTGGCACAGTCACAAGACAATC